ATGAAATAACCTTACCTATCCTATGGTTTTGAGGGAATCTGTATTTTTAAAAATATAGATTTACCTTACTCAAATTTGTAATATATTACATACATAGTGATTGAAATTATATATTAATCATATTTTATTTTTCAAATATGTATTTCTAATTCACCTTATATTAGATTTCTCAATACATGTTTTTGGTCGAAGCTCTCTGTTCCTACTTTGTACTTAACAAAATACAAATATAACATTCAAACTCTAATTATTTATGTTATATTTATGTGTAATTTATTGATATAGTCTGTAACGAATTCCATTTTTAAGTTCTGACGATAATTCTTAAGACATTTTTTTAAATTTTATTTGTGGATCCACTGCCGTACACTATTACGGTAAATTTAATTTTAAAAATGTACCTTGATAATATTATATTTAAAAATTCAATATTGCTCTTATTGACCACCAGTTTGTAAGCTAAAGCACTGTTTTTATTATAATTAAAAATAATTGAACATTTAAATTATATTAATATAAATATATTTATATTTATGTATATTATAATTAATATGGGATTATATAATATTTAATTATTATGATCATATTATTTCATGGAAATTAGCCATTCTGATATAATTTAAAATTTTATACTTTAACATGGGTGTTTATTTAATGTATTTTAAAATATATTGATGTTGGTGTTGACATATATTAACTCATTTTTTTTTTACATCCATGCCAGTTTGCTGATTTTCCTATATACCTATAAGTCTTATTTGGAACACTAAATTATGCTTCTATTTAGAATTAATGAACGTTTTTCACAGTGATCCAATAAATTTAAAATGAAAAATGTATGTACCCTATGTCCCTATATTTAATTGGGTATATTATATAATATCCCTTAATTGGTCACTGAGTAACTCCTAATATATTGTCATTTACTTGTAGTTAAAAAATTAAGAAAAATTAATTGTTTAATGATTGCTAACTTTATCATAATAGTGTATGAAAATGTTTTTTAATTTAACATAATGTGTTAAATACCTACAACAAAATTATTAAATTAAAATTATAATATATAATGCTTTTCAAGAGGTTGTATTTTAAGAAAATTTATTGATATTTCAGATGTTGTAAACTTACTCAATCATATTTTATGATTTATATTTTATATTTATTATTTTTTTTTTTGTTTTTTCACTGAATTCAGACATAATAATATAATATTATTTTCAAGTTATTATTTAAACAATTTTATTATCATATTTTTTTTTAAAAAACAATTATTAAAATATTGAGTTATATTATTATTAATGTCTTAGAGAGGATACTACCTAGATTTATAAGATTGTACATATTATGTTCAATATTAATACCTCGAGTTATATTTTTTTTTTTATTAGCCTTTAGTTATACCCTATTATGGCTCAACAATTAAAATATAGTATGACATATAAAATTAATGATGTTAGTTTTCATGAACAAAATATATAAAACTGATTATTAACCAAATAATATTATATGATATTAGTTTTGTTTTTACTTTAGTTTAACTGCAAGACATTTATTTTATTATTAACACGTTTAATTAATTAAATTAAACTATACTTGAAATAAAACAAAAGTTAAGTTTTTAAAAGTAAAGTTTTACTTTAAGACTGCATAATAATTAGTAAAAGGTCAATCATTAATTATTTCAAAGTGAGTTTATGAAAAATTTAATTAGTTTCATTTGACATTGGATATGTGTTAATTTATTATCCAAGCTGATCAGGTAGATATTGTTTAACACAAATGGCTAGTTATATATGTAATCAAGAATAAACTAATCAACTTTGTTTTTTTTTTTTACTCATGTTAAAGTTATATACAAATATTTTGTTTAAGTTTAAAATTAAATGGTACCTACCTACTTTACGTTTATTAACTTGAAAAATGTACAAATTAAATTTTAAAAAAGTTTAATTTTTTTTAACTTAACAAGAGATATAATATCTAGATCATATTAAATTAAATATATTTTATATTAATTACCAATAGCCAGGATTTTAAAACCCCGGGGTGAGGGGCATATTGTATATTTAAAAAAAATTCTAAACAATTAACGATAATAATTTATTTTTATGTTGTTTCAGTGTTTTGTATGCAAGAAAGGGGGCATGCCTGGGAACAATGACTGCTCTCCTACCATTGCTACACCACTGTTTATTATGGAACTTACCAGCTGGATACTATAACCATAAAGAAATCAGTCTTGTAATTTATTTATTATTAAATGTATTCAAAAGTTTTTATAGTATTTAGAATGATTGTTGAATTGGTACTTGAAAATATTTTAAATACTGCCTTGGATTTTTTTTTACCTATTTAAAAATCAAATTCATATTTTTATGTAAATAATTTTAAAACTTCAAAAGAATTGTTGTCAAATTTCAGTTTGATTTTTGATAATCATTTGGTATATTATTTTGTTTATAATTAAAATCAAATTATTAACACGGTGGTTTATTTTATGTTTCATTATAAGCTGTTTATTGTTTAATTAATACTAAAATATAAGTTATTATTATTTACATTTTAATTCTTCAGTACATATGAAGTAGCTTCAAAAGATGTGACACTAAAATTTAAAGTTAGTCATAACTTATAAATTGTAAAATTAATTTTCATATCTTTTTGTACGATTAAATAATTAAAATTACAAAGTACCCATTATCATTTGATAATCATTTGGTATATTATTTTATTTATAATTAAAATCAAATTATTAACACAGTAGTTTATTTTATGTTTCATTATAAACTGTCAATTGATTAATTAATACTAAAATATAAGTTATTATTATTTATATTTTAATTCTTCAGTACAAAATGAAATAGTTTCAAAAGATGTCACTAAAATTTAAAATTAGTCATAACTAATATAACTAATATAACTCATAATTAGTCATAAATTGTAAAATTAATTTTCATATCTACTTGTACAATATTAAATAATTAAAATTACGAAGTACCAATTTGAAAAGTATTTAAATAAGTTTATGTAAGTGCATGTTAAGTATTTCTATTTGTTCTCAAAAGTCTTTTCTTTAAAGTACATATTTGAAATATATTTATTTTAGGACTGGATGAAACCATAAAAAAAAATAATATATTTTATAGTTGTTTACTATATTTGGAAACAAACTATATTTTTTTTCCCTACAAGGCTAAAACATTACTACAAAATGATACCTAACTAGATAGAAAAAATATTTTTTAATTTGTACTGATAATTTTAATTTGTATAATACTTTAATAATCAAAATAATTAGCAGTACATAATTTATTAATTAGATACAAAATAATATAAGTACTATAATACATTTTTTTTTTTGTTAAAATAGAAAATGTACAATCCTTAGCATGCGTACAAATGTACAATAAGCAAAATATATAGTATGATATTGAGAATAATATAAAAGATAACATATATATTATAAAGTACGACTAGGGAGGCTGCCCAGATACAAATCCTCGACTTTAAATTAGAGTTATTCGGTCGTATATGGTAATGTCAAAAATAGTACATTTATTTATTTAATCATACATAATTTATTATTTGTATATACAGAGTACAAGGGATACCTGACAGATGAAATAACTTTTGTTCTAATCAATAATAACAATTTTTGTTTTTATATAATTTACAATCACTTTCAAAAAACATATAAAATAAAAAAAAAATTTATTTTTTAATGTGCTGAAAATTTGGAAAAATTCAAAATATCCAATTTATAAATCTGATTATAAGACAATTTTTGATTGTAAAAAAATTTATCTAATTCAAGTTAATGTTTTAGAATTTTTTAAAGTACCATATATTTTTAAGTAAATTCATCGTAATATATTACATCTCATTTAAGATAGGAGAGTGGTAGAACATTTCTAACTATACTAAACAAATCAGGACTTATATAGTAGGGCTTATTATAGCCTATTATGCCATTCTTAAAAAACTATTTAAACCCCTTAAAAAAATTTGTTTTTTAAAAAGTACAAATGTCTCATTGTAGACCACCCATGGTTAGGTTAGGTTAGCTTACAATAAGACCTATGTTATCCTTGATATAAAATAAAAAAATAAACATGAAGAAATAATTAAACAATTTTTGTTACCTATCTCTCAAACATCATAAAATTCATTTATAGTCAGTGGCGTATATAGAAATAATTTTTAGTGAAATAAATAGTAGAAAGTAGTATTTATTTATAAGTGATTGCCATTGGTTATTTGGACAGATTAGGTACAAGTAGTATGTTTGAAAATGTTCACATCAATGTTGTTATTCATAGTCACAGTTTTTTTTTTTAAACATTTAAAGTTTAAATCTTAACAACATACTCGAAAATCATAAAAATGTGCAAATTATTTTGAGTTGGAAATTCATATCAATATTTCTTTTTAATCTAAAATTTGAAAAACTTGCTTCAAAAATTTCAAAACGATTAACAATAGCTTCTGAAGTTGAAGCAGATGTACCCAAAGAAATGTCAATGCAAAGACAATTGCCTAAAAAAACATCGGTACTTATAATAATTAGGTACCTACCCACTATCAAAAAAAAAAGGATAGGTAGCTTATGTAGGGATGAAAATGATGTTGAATATTCACCAAGGTTTAAGTATCATAAACCAAACAATGTTTGGAAAACATTTATGGTACCCAATTACTAAGTTAAAATTACATTAAATTGCTATTGTACATAATTAATTCATTGTTATATTACCTATATGTATTAAAGTGAACGACGGATCTACCACTTCAAACACAAAGAAACATTTATTTTAATAATTCATAAGGATTAATGTTGCTTTAAAATCTCATGAAAACAAATGAAATAAAATAAGAACATACTGTATAGGTAAAACTGATTTTATTTAAACATGAAAAACATGATAGTATTTTTTTATTTTAAAACTAATAAAATAAAAACTATGTACTAAAATAACTACCAATCAATGAAAATAATACTCTTAATTAGTCACTGGTACACCAGCAGTTGTCGAATTGTCGATACCACATTCGTTTGTGCCTCGTCGAATTTTGAAAAGACCGTTATCACCCCAATCTTCGTTCCACGAGTTAACCATCAACCAGTATGGCACTCCGTATTCTTCACCCCAACCGATCAATTTAACGGCATGTCCTCCCAAGTATGTGGCATTTTCAGATCTCACGTAAACACCTTTAAAACGTCGAAATTACGATTAGAAATAACACTACGATTATCGAAATAGTAGCACAAGGCACATATTATTATAATATATTAAGTCGTTGATGTTTATCGTTTACCTGACTTGTAATTGGGAAAATCGTTGTATACATCGAACGATGCTTCAATTGGTCCGTACGTCATAACGTCCTTTTGGATGCTGCCGTACGTGAGGTAGTAGTAGTCACGTGCTATAATCATGTAAGTCAATAGATTAAACACATATTTGAACCACCTGTAATAAATTGTCAAAATCAATCATACTGTATCTGTGATCTTCTTTGAAATCGAGGTCCTGATTTCCGTAACAAGTTCTCCTGCATCTGTGATTTAATTCCATTGGTTTACCAGCGCATGTATTATTTCCTTCATCGTCATAGGGGCAAGGAGGGACTCTGTATGGTTCACAACCCTAAAAACGACGTGTGCGAGGTTAAACCAAACGTCCAAACATAATATTATACAAATATTATACTAAAAGTCTATCGAGAACAAGTCACATACCTCTGATGAATTGTAGTCACCTCCGGTTACTAGACCGTGTTTACTAAAACGTTTCCATGCTTTTATCGGATAACCGCCATTACATCCAAAGCCGCATAAATGACAGCAGAAAGTGATTTCTTCGGCGGATAGCAGTTCGTTGAAATCACCATTTGTAGCTACACATAAACGGTCAGCAAAAGCCGAGCTTGTGGCCACCGCCTAAATAAATAATTTGAATAAAATAATGTCCAACTCTTGACACATATAGCATATAAGATTACATACCCAACACGATCCACAGTTTCCTTGGTCACGGACTTCTCCGATCGTTTGACAATGTCTCCATTTTCTTCTAGCGTCAAAGTGCCTTGGAATTCTGCCGAATAAGTTGTCGTAAGCCTCATCGTCGGTTTTGTACATATTAATATTATCTAAGCTTGGAATTCGTACTCCTTTTGATCCCAAAAGTTTTAGGATATGTTGCTCTGGTGTATTTGGATCGAAGTTTACACCTGCCTAATTTATTAAATGTTCTGATTAGTATGAAAATGAATTTGAAAATTATTTTGTATTTTTGGCGTTTAGAAATTTATAAAACGCTCAATCTTAATATGTACCTATTTGTTTTTTGATATTTCCATACAGATGATAACATTTAAAAAATAGACTCTTTAACACTTTTCTTAAGTTTGGTTACACGTCTGTCTGTGATCAAATCTTGCGCGCTCGATTTGAGGCACTTTTTGAAGATGAAAAATTCTTAAAATTTGTATAGACCTTGGTCTTGGATGACAATACAATAATCCGTAAAAAAATTTTTTTTAACTAAAAAGTAGAAAATAAAAAATTAAAAAATTATTTTTTAAAAACACACTTTTCTAAAAAAACAAAAAATAATGAAAAATTTAAAAGTGTGTGGCGCTCTTAAACTTGACATATTATACCACACACTTTTAAATTTTTCATTATTTTTTTGTTTTTTTAGAAAAGTGTGTTTTTAAAAAATAATTTTTTTTAAGCTATAGATAGCCATTAGAATGTTTCTCAAGTTGTCTTAAATATTTTTGTAGATAAATTGTGTTTTGCCCGGACAAACCTTGAAAATTGAGCAAGGTTACTAATAACTAATAAGTTAATATTAGTGTAATTATAATTAAAAGTCGAGTGTAAATCTACAATATTTTTTTATTAGCGTTTGAAGTGAAATTGTTTGTTGTTAGAAATTGGTAACAAGTTTTCTTTACATACCTAGCTAACATTGTAAATGTTATACAAGATTACTTATAAGAAATATTGCCATTAACAAAACATATAAGGTTTACCGGAAAGTCGAATACATTTTCCATGAGCATTTAAGTTAAAATTTTTACGACATTGGATATTCACGTCATGTAAATGTAAATTATCGATTTCCTTATTTTATTGTAATTCAAAAACAAATAGATATACTCGAATTGATCACCAAAATATGTTTGTTTAATATTTTAAAAATTTTGAATTTTTTTAGCTATTCCTATGTACATTAAAATTTGAAATTTTTTAGTATATAATTATTCGTAATAAATTATCAATCCATCAAAAAGCTTGAAAATTAAATTCAAAGTTTTCACAAGTTTTTAAAATAGAAGTACCATAAAAAAAAATGTATAACATTTTTTTATTAGCATTTGAGATTGAAATTTTGAAAAAATTACTTTCTGAAACTTGGCAGTGATTTTGGAGTAGAGAACGTTTTGAAATATTATCTCATTTAACAAACATGGTAATAATAAACAGCGTAGTAAATAGTAATAAACGTTATTTAACATGATATTTTTCGGATCCAACATAAATAATGAATGGCTCACCTTCCAGGTAGTCGCTTTTTCATTGATATTGTCAATGAAATCTTTCTGCAAAAAGTATGCTTGTTCCGTCACATAAACGCTGATGAATATCACAGACAATAACATCAACACCCTAGCCATGGTTGCAACTTTTTCGCTAATTTTTATTTAACAGAATTTAATGCAAACACCACTGTTGCTTCTTGTACAACAATAGTCACTAATAGAATAAGTTTCGATTTTCAAATACCAGCCGTATCAATAAGTATGTCTCAAAATACGTTTTTACCTAGGTAGGTACTCAATTTATTCTAGTGATTTCATATTCAATAACACTTATTGTTAACTTATCTGAATCGTATCACATAATGCATATTATTATACTTTACTTATTAATTGTACCCATTATTATTCATCTTAATCTAAAGTTTATTATCAATAAAAAAAAAAAAAAAACTATTCGTTTTCCGAATAATTAAATAATCGAATACTAATAATATTATATTACCTAATTTATAATATAATTTAATCAATTATTCACATTTTATAAAATCTTCAAACGAATTCGCAACGACTTAATGTCTTTATCAATGATTCATATTTTTTTCATATTAGTTTACTATTAGTCATTGACATTTATCTACAATTGTAGGTATACATCTATTCAATAATAAACAAACATTTAAAAATAGAAAATTTAAAATACAAAAACAATATTTTCTATGATACGAAATATTAAAGTTAATAACATGGTTGATTAATATGTATTTAAATATTTATAATTTTCTTTCCCGTAGTGTTATTCACACATATAATGCGGTTATGCCTTACTTGCCTCAAATTAATAAATTAAACGCAACCATTTACGTTAGTGGAAATGTGGTAAAAGGCTTTACAATATTACTTTAAGTGTTTTTGCAAAAAATGTTATAACTACCGATTAGTCAATACTTCTTGTAAGTCTGTTAGTGTTTTAGTCTTTGGGTAACATTACATTTTGTTGTTATTTTTAGATTAATAATGTCTAGACATAATACTATACTATCCTATACGGCCTATATCCCTCTTTCAAGACTGTGTTGATTGAAAATATTTTATTTTTAAACTTTTTGCGCATTGTGATTAATGGCAAACATTTACTAAAAACATCAAAAATGTATAGGTAATTAGCAGGGCTTGAAACCGTAAATATTTTTTCCTATATCGATTTCGGTTTCAGTTATCGGTATTTATTTTTTTCCGATTTTGATTTCGGTTTCAGATATCGGTATTTAGCTTTTTTGATTTCGATTTTGGTATTGAATATCGGTTTTATATTTTTCGATTTCAATTTTGATTACCGGTATTGATTTTCTTCGATTTTGTTTCCGATTTAGGTTTTTAACGGTTTAAACCGGTACCTATTCAAAATCGGTATCCAATATCGGTTGAAAGTCCTGCATTATTATTTAATTACCAGGGCTTGAAACCGTAAATATATTTCCCGATTTCGATTTGTATGTGTAAATAATATGTCTTATACCTAGACTGACATACCGTCTCCACTCAGAATCGTTTTTCTTATACAATGATAATATCAATAATATCATTATATTATAATATCATTGAATTCAAATGTAATACTATCTATTATACAGTGACCCACTTGTAACCTACTGTACAGCAGAGCGACACCCACTTGCCCACCTTTTAGATTCTGAGCGGAGCGATGAATGTATTGGTTTTACAATGATGTATGTTTTTATATTTTTTTTATATTTTTGTGTCTGTCATCACGTTTTAGGACAGTAAAAGTGCTTGGATTTTCTTCATCAGTAGCTTTTCTGATAGGAAAGTGAATCTAGTTGGTACTTTGGGGGGTCAAAAGTATAAATTTCCCAGTAGTTTTCACAAGCGCCGGGAAAAACAACATAAAAATTAAGGAAAAACGGGAATTTTTACGCAAAATTGGTTTTCCAAAAAATCGATTTTGGTTATTGGTGTAACTCTAAAACAAATGAACGTATATACATGAAATTTTCACTGGTTGTTTATATTTGCATTTTCTATACACGATAACATTTGTTTACGGACACTTACAGCTTTCAATTTTTTTTAGTTTTTTTTTCTATAAATATCAATAAAGTTTTATCTGTTGGGCCAAAAAGTGTAAAAATTTAATACAAGGCTCCTGATATATTGTTACAATAGCAGTTGAAAAATATTAAAAATACATAGGCACAGTTTTTTTTTATAAGCATTTAAAGATCAAATTTTGACAAAATTTATCAAATTCTCGAAAATTATCAATCATTGTAATATTAATAAATTATAAAATGTTCAGTTTTTATAGCTAAGGATTACAAATTCAACACAAAGGTTCTCATAAATAGTTCATACTATAACCAAAAAATCTAAAAAATATATGAACACACTTATTTTTTACAGACATTTTAAATTCAAATTTGGACGAAATTACATATTAAAAAACCTAGAATAACTATTTTAGTTATTTTGTTGTGATTGAATAATATTATTCGTGGGTACTTGAAACTTCTAAAGTGTACTATTATATATCTATGATAGTATCACGGTTTTTGTTGATGTATAACGCGTTATAAGTATCTAATGGATATTGTGATATGATTAATTTGGAATTTATTATAGGTACCTATTATAGGTCAATTTTTTGTTTAATACCATAGATATGTATATAATATGTCTTATACATAGACTGACATACCGTCACCGCTCAGAATCGTTTTTCTTATACAATGATATTATATCATTGAATTCAAATTTAATACTATCCATTATACAGTGACCCACTTGTAACCTACTGTACAGCAGAGCGACACCCACTTGCCCACCTTTTTTTTTTTAATACTGGTTTTGAATTGTTCCGATTTCGGTTTTGATTACCGGTATTGATTTTCTTCGATTTTGTTTTGCTTTAGGTTTTTAACGGTTTAAACCGGTATTCAATTCGGGTAAACAGGTAAGGACCGGCTAGCCAACGAACTCCGGAGGACGATACTGTGAGTAAGTCTTTCGATATTTCTGTATTTAATAAGTATTGCGTATGTAATAAGCATTGTTAGGTATTTCATGAGTATGGTGTATGTGTTTAATGATTATTGTGTATGTATTTAATAAGTATTGTGTAATAATAAAAGCATATCAACTAGAACCAACTTAATATTTGATCTATCTTTCCTGAAGCTCCCGAGTTAAGGTTTAAATATAGTTCATAGGGCTCTGAAAACCCTCACTGAATTATCTAAATATAACAGGTTCCCCCGACCCCGTTACACTACCATATAGAATGTGGCCCTTTAACAAATTTTGTACTAAACTTTACATTCTTAAATCCAACATTGTACAACTTGAGTCAATAAAATATCATACTTATTAATATAATATTTTTTTTAACTTTTATAACTTATAATTATTATCATTTAAAATGTAAGTAGGAACTAGAAATCTTTACAAACGTGTCCCGGCGAAAAAAAATACGCCTTCGGTCAATATTATGCGCAGATTTAAATTTATTTACTGCGTGCGGCCCCGAAGGTAATTTTCAATAATAATATTCAGCTGTTTCCAAAATCCTAGTGGGGATTAGAGGGATTTTCCACAAAACTTTAGAGATTTATTTTTGTGTCACTGGCTGGGCACATCGTTCCTGGTCATATTGTATGGTTGATATTCATAAAAACAATTTTGAATAAATTAAAGACAATTAATTATAAATTTAAGATAATACGCTATCTACCTATCGAAATCTTTTAATTAAATATTATCTTCATTTAGCGTAATTACCTACTTCGAAGAAACTGAATAAACTATAAGTGTATGAGTGGTAATTTTCTTATTAAGTGATTTGTCAATATCGTTTTATTGATTATTTAATAAGAAAATACTAGAGATCTTTTCATACAATTTTCCAAGAAATTATGCCTTATACATTATCGATTATACAATTAGAATATTCAAACTTACCTATATATAAACGCAAGGTATTAGAAAACAAAACTCATTCAACTACTGCACAACAGTGAGTTTTCAATTTTTTCAAATAATAAATATGTATTTTTAATATTTTTCAATTGCTATTGTAACAATATATCAGGAACCCATTGTATTAAATTTGTACACTTTTTGGCCCAACAGATAAAACTTAATTGATATTTATAGAAAAAAAACTAAAAAAAATTGAAAGCTGTAAATGTCCGTAAACAGCTCAAAATGAGTCAAAATATTTTCAAAATTGTATGGTGTATAGGAAATGCTAATATAAATATTCAGTGAAATATTTATGTATCTACAGTTATTCGTTTTTGAATTACAACATAATAAGGAAATCGCTACATGAAAAATCGAGTGAATATCCAATGTTGTAAAAATTTGAATTTCAAACAATCATAAAAATTTAATTTGACTTTCTTATAGACATTTTTTTTTGATAAAGGTATATAATCTTATAAAGAATCTTGTATTACATTTTAAAAAATTAGATTTAAAAAGAAAAATTTTTACGAATTCTTAACTCAAAATAATTTGCTAATTTTCGTAATTTTTCCATATTTTGTCAATTTTTGAACTTTAAATGCTTATAAAAAAAAAATTGTGATTAAGGATTTTTAATATTTGTCATCTGCCTTTGATACAATATACTAGGAGCCTTCTATTAAATTTTCAAGCTTTCGCAACCAACAAATACAATTTTAGAAAAAAAATAAAAAAAAAACGGAAAATGAAAATGTCCCTAAACAGTTCAAAATAAATCAAAATATTTTGAAAATATTATCGTGTATAGAAAATGCAAATATAAACAACCAGTGAAAATTTCATGTATATACGTTCATTTGTTTAAGAGTTCTGAGTTACACCAAAAACCAAAATCGATTTTTTGGAAAACCGATTTTGCGTAAAAATTCCCGTTTTTCCTTAATTTTTATGTTGTTTTTCCATATTTTGTCAATTTTTGAACTGAATGATTATAAAAAAAATTGTGACTAAGGATTTTTAATATTTGTCATCTGCCTTTGATACAATATACTAGGAGCCTTCTATTAAATTTTCAAGCTTTCGCAACCAACAAATACAATTTTATTGATATTTTTAGAAAAAAAACAAAAAAAAAATGGAAAATGAAAATG